TTCAGCCATAAAAAGGAATGAAGTACTGATACATGCTACAATGTGGGTAAATCTTGAAAATCTTATGCTAAGTGAAAAAAGCCAGACACAAAAGACAGCATATTATATGATTCCATTTATATGAAATGTCCAGAATAGGCAATCTGTAGAGTCAGAATCTACATTCTGTTGCCAGGGATTGAGGGAGGGGAGTTGGGAAGTGACTGCTAACAGGTAGGAGTTTTCTTTTGGGGTGATGAATACGTTCTGGAACTAGTTAGTGGTGGTGGCTGCACAACCTTGTGAATGTTGTGCTACTGAATTTTTCACTTTAAAAGGTAAATGTTATGGCAGGTGAAAAAAATTCAGTCAGGGTTATGTCTGCTGTCAACAGGTGGATCAGACTGAATTTTGACCTTCAGAAAATTATGACTATATAATGAGACTAGTTTCCTGACACAGCTTGAAATCTAGATGAGGAAAATTCGAAAGAGGGCTTCTTGAAAGGTTGAAATTAGCACGCACACACACTCTCCCAAGGTGACTAGTACTTTGTTAAAAGGACAACTCACTTTCAGATATAGAGGTTCTACCAAATACATTAAAATTACCATGACTGTTGGAAAACATCAAATTCTGCCTAATCAATTCACTTCCTAAATAAAATTTTTAACTTTATATTGTTTGTGTAATCCTCATACCTTAAGACAACTACTTTTTTCTTTTCTTTTGGCCATGCCTCGTGGCTTGCAGGATCTTAGTTCCCTGACCAGGGATTGAACCTGTACCCCTAGCAGTGGAAGCACGGAGTCTTAAACACTAGACCGCCAGGGAATTCCCAAGACAACTACTTTTAAGACTGTATTACTCACAAATACACTTCAAATTCCTGGCCACAATCAAAATTATATCTAAAGGCTAGAATTTTTCATTTCTTTTTCAGGTTTCAATTTAATCAAGCTTAAATAAACACTGTGCAGTTTTAAAAGAATTACTTTACAAGTCAGTATTCAGAAGTCAGAACTTACATGGCATACACCATGCTGTCTTTTTTCCAATAAACTGTTGTTTAGTATGCAGAGGAGTTTTTTTGCACTGTAGTGAGTCATAGAGTGAATAAAGAAGTTGTGCACACACACACATCCCCATACCCTTGAGCAAGAAAAGCATTACCAGAACGCTTTAACAGTACCAGAAGACAGATGGGTTTTGAATTCACCTATCTTGTCAAGAAAACGTAACCGGTGGTGTAACGGAAAGAGGACTGGAATGGGGAATCTTGGTGCTAGTCCTAATTCTGCCCTTAACTAGTGGAGTAACCTTAGCAGAGTGATTTGACCCTCTGTTGTGTCTTCAGTAAAATGAAAGAATTGGATTGCAAGGTTCCTAAGTCTTACAACTCTCAACAGTCTTTGATTCTATTGTTAATTGGCGTAGGGCTGTGGGAGGCCCAGCAGTTACACGCTAGGCAGTTCTCATATTTTTACGTACTTAGGCAACCATGCCATATAGAGTAATAAGAGAACTGAGTATTAGTCACAGGGAAGAAGGAAAAAGTGTGCATAGCTCCTGCTGGTACTGGTTTACTCCTGTTGGACCTAATAAAGAGAAAGCACCTTTGCCAATTTTCCAGGGGATAGGAGTAGTTCTTATGTCTCACCACACCCACCATAGTTGGTTTTTCCTAAAAGAAATCCAGTGGGACTCTACAAAAATGTTGTCAAGCACCAAGTACTTTTAGTCACTGCATGACTAATACAACAGACCAATTCTAAATTAAAGAAATAAATCAGCTTTCTCTTTCTAATACAAAAGAAATAAACAGCTTTCATTCCAAACAAAGAGTCCTAGATGACCACAGTGAGTTGCACAGATAACTTAGCAATAAACACAGTGTCAACCCAAAGAAAATGAATTATCTACAGAACTAGAAGGTTCAAAGCACTGAGGTTCAACATAACATTATTATTCGACATAGCCTTTTTTTTTTTTTGGCTCCTCCGCACAGCTTGTGTGATCGCAGTTCCCCGACCAGTGATGGAACACAGGTCACGGCAATGACAGCACCAAATCCTAACCACTAGGCCACCAGGGAACTCCCTCCACATAGCCCTTTAATGAAATTCAGTTTACCACTCCAACTTCCAGAGTAAAAAGCAGTATTAAAAACTCACTGAGGGCTTCCCTGGTGGCACAGTGGTTGAGAGTCCGCCTGCCGATGCAGGGGACACGGGTTCGTGTCCCGGTCCGGGAAGATCCCACATGCCGCGGAGCGGCTGGACCCGTGAGCCATGGCCGCTGAGCCTGCGCATCCAGAGCCTGTGCTCCGCAACGGGAGAGGCCACAACAGTGAGAGGCCCTCATACCGCAAAAAAAAAAAAAAAAAAAGAAAACTCACTGAGACTCATCACCTCTTTCACGGCAAGAGATAATCAGACCTGCCTGGGATGGGATGGTGTCAATAAAACAGAAGTCACCATCATACGGACTGGATTGTGGAAACCAAAGATCAAATGAGGCCAACTCAGAAGTTGTATCAGGTGGCTCCCAAGAAGGCTTTCTGGAATAACTCCTCCAAAACAGTCCTAGCTAGAGAACCTGTGTTCCCTGATTTGCATGCAACTCTCTCTCTTAAAACGGCTCTTTGTCAAATATGGCCACAGACCACATAAGCAATCATCTGTCTGGTTATGCCTAGCAACATTCCTTTCAAGAGGGGTACAGAGCTGTAGTTCTTAATCTAGTACCCCTTCATGGACCTCTAGGTGGCACATGGATGGACTTCATGGGGTCAGTGAAGTCCCCAAGGACCTATGCAAACTTTTGTCTCTCTGCACATTTTGGGGGCAAAAGAGCCCTTGGGCAGTAAACCAAGAGGCTGTGAACCAAGGAAAGTTAAGAACTACTGGTGGTTTAGAGACAGATGTAAAACAGAACAAATCTCCTGACGGTGCCCATGTAAATAAGACAGGAAGTAATGCCCATTATTTGAGATGCAAAATAACAAAGGGTGCTGTCTTTTCAAAACAAAAAGAAAATATGATATGATGGTCGGAAGTTCTTGAGGGTCAGGTATTCCACTCCCTTCATCCTCTAGTCTAGATGAGGAAAATGAGCTGAGAGGCTCTTATCCAAAACCACAGATCACAGAGTGGCAAAGCTGAGCACCAAACCAGGCCAGGTTTCTGCCAGGATGGTATGTTTATACTTTTTTCAGAATGGTTTTGACCAAAATTTTCCTTATGAATACCCCACTCCATTAAGAAGGTAGCCTTCAAAAAATTTTAAATCAAGCTTCAGCCTAGAAATTTGACACATTAAAATATCCAAATCATAAATCAAATCACAAATCTTTCAAATAAGCCAGCACATAACAGATTTATAAGGCAGAACCTTAGTGGCTCAATATCCCCTATCCTGCTGCACTATAAGTGCGACTTGAAAAAGCAGCACAGGTCACAAGCTTCTAATTGTGAAGTGCCTCAACTGTAATGAAAAGCGACAGCCACTGACAGACCTTTAAAAAAGATACCGAGTCAGGGTCAAGCTGACTTTAGAGTGGATTTGTAGGACTTCAGTTTGCAAGTTCCCACAGGGAACTTTACTCAATACTCTGTAATGACCTATATGGGAAAAGAATCTAAAAAAGAATGGGTATATGTATAACTGATTCACTTTGCTGTAGAGCAGACACTAACGCAACACTGTCAATCAACTATACTCCAATAAAAATTTAAAAAAAAATTTGCAAGTTCCCTTCTGAGGAGTCTTAAGTGTTGCCTAAATACCAACTGATTTTTTTCAACCCAGGTAATGGAGACTTTCATGAATTAAACTGATAACCACTTTTCTAGTTCTATGTTCACAAAGAGTACATGAGTAAAAGCAAAGATAATAAGCAGTTATTCTAAGACCAAATTAAAAAATAATTATGGTCATAAAGTTACAGGTCCGTTTGTTCCAATGCCTAACTTTGCCTCAGAATATGAAATTTAAAGTAATCAAAATAATCTCACCTGAGAAGTGAAACCAAAGCGACATTTGAACCTAAGTTCAATGACAACATGTCCTTCAATTACAAAGGAAGTGCTTTATTTATTAAAAGAGACTTAACGGCGTAGGATTCTATGGCATACGCACTGCCTCCAAAGACATACAATATGGTAAAGTTTCTGATCGCTTGTGAATTATATTTAGCCATTTCTGCAAGCTCTAACTCTAGACTCCCAAACCCTAAGGTGTAACTGGAATGGGCCATTGGAAGCACCTGTGGCCTTTAAAGGCTTTAACCAATTCTCAAGGCTTTCTTGGCCGCAGTCTAGAAGAGGGTTTGACCATTCTATTTTGGGTCAAGGAGACTCTCTTACACCCCAAGTGACCTCAAGTGGGCAAGATCAGTTTGGAAGAATGCACTGCGAGTGATTTTTCACCAGGCCAGCGGCCTCCGCTGCGAGACTTCCAAAAGGATGTAGATCTGGTCTCGATCGAGACGACGAAAGAATGCGGCTGGGCTGTGTGGGGCTCACGACAGCCAGTCGGCTCGGGATCCCGCTGCCCGCGGCCGGACTGTGGCGTCAGGAGCGTGAAGAAGCAGGGATCCCCGGGGCACGCAGAGGGAGGAGAGAGGAGAGAGGGCGGGAGCCAGAGCGAGGTTCGGAGACTGCAGGTGTCGCCGGGGGAGGGGACGAGATCGTCCGGGGCTGGCACTACCAAGTGACTAACAGTGCGGTTCCGGACTCGGGCAAACTGGTCACATTCTCAGGCTGTGTGACCTTGAGCGTGTGGCTCGCCCGCTTTGCGCCTCAATTTCCTCATCTCTAAAATGGGGGTTGTTCAAGCGGAAAACGCACCTTGGATCGCTTGGCAAGGCGCCTGGCACATAGTAAGCGCTCCGTACAAATGAGCTACTATTGGCTCTCGGGCTCCTCTTACCGCCCGGAGGAGCGAGGAAAGCCCCGAGCAGGGGAGTCCCCAGGAGGCGGATCCCGGGCTGGGAAGGGGGGACCTGGCCGGGCACTCACCGAGCACGTCTGCCGAGCGGTGCCGGGCTACGAAGCACGCATCGTCTCCGTAGCACGCGCCCTTCTTAAGGAGGCCCTTACGGAAGTCCTTGCCGAAGCCGCAGCCGGCCGTCACGAGCCCGTAGTCGCCGCCGCCGCTGCCGCCGGCCCTGGGGTCGGTCTGCGAGAGGCCGCCGAGCACAGCGCGGGCCACCAGTCGCCCGTACGAGAGGACCGAGAACATCGCCGCCGCCGCCCCCCCGAGGAGGCGGGGGGCCCGGGGAGCAGAAGGACGCGGAGGCCCGGAGCCGGCTCTCTCCTCAGCCGCAGCCGCGCCGCCGCCGGGACGCTCCTCAAGGCGGCGCGCAGTCGCCGCCGCCCCTTCCCGACGCGCGGGGCCTCGCACACGCTCCGCCGCGCGCACTGGAGCCAGAGCGAGGTCAGAACCGGCGGCTCCTCCGCCTCAGCCCGACTGGGGTCCCGGCTGCAGCCACCGCTGCCGCCGCCATCTTCCACTCCGCTAGCGTGTTCCGGGCCTCGCCGGCAGCACCGCCCCCTTTGTGGCCACGCCTCTAGCCCCGCCCACGGCCGCTGCTTAGGCCCAAGCCCCGCCTCCTCGGCTCGGTGCCCTACGCAGCCACAGAGGTCGAGCGTGCGCAGAGGATGTGGACACAATGTCTCTTGGGAGTTGTAGTCCAAGAGTTGTAGTCGCTTTTTTACTTCACTGCCTAGCTTCAAGGACCTAGGAGGATTCCCCAGACGCGGGACCTAAGTTAAAATACCGAGAATTACAGGTGGGCTGTTTTCTCCCCTGCTTTAACCATATCTTTTAAAAGCTACTGTTTTAAATAACGCCACTATTCCTTTAAAGAAAAACCTGGAAGAAAGTATCGGGTCACATATCATTATTCTGTAGGAAGTACACTAATCTAGTGACACCTCCAGAACTTATATATTGGAAGGGTTTAGGGGAGGCAATCTGTTTGGAAAGAAGAGCCGTTTTGCATAATGTTTAGGAAAATTCGAGAAAATACTATATGTTCCTATTAGACGGTTGGGTGAGGATGGAGGGTTAGTGATGGAGATTCAGGCACGGCCACTGCAGCCATGTCATACAGAAGTGTTTCAGACTTTCAGACGGTTCTGCCAAGTGGGGAATAAAAAATTCTAGGCCCCAAATTTCTTTGTCTCAAATCTTAATTTTCTTGCAGGTCCACCTAGCTAAACAGGTCTTCTTCCCACCTCTGACTTGGGTGCTCAGAGAGGTCATGCAGTGCCAAAGACTTGTAAAGATGAGGGCCCTGCCTCTCTACTCCCACAGCTGCCACCTCTTCTCATCAGAAGGACAACTCTTAGCAAGAAAGGCAAAAAAAAAAAAAAAAAAAGAAAGGCAGCTCCCCTACTTTTTTTTTTAAGCTCTTAGCCCACCCTTAACAAAGACATCACAGTAGCCTTCTCCAGATTTTGACTAAGCAACCTTCTTCTGAAAATATTTAGGTTGAAAAATAACTAAATTTAATGGGGAGTTTGTAATGTAATGTGAAGATTAGCTCACCAAATGTGTGTAATATGTTTGTATGTGTGTATGAATGTACATTCAAATTACATACCATGCTGGTGGGACTGTACATAATCTAGCCCCTGCATACCTCTCCACCGCATTTGGTCCTGTGCCCCCTTCACTAACTGGGCTCTAGTCATGCTCACAGCTGCCTCAGGGCCTTTGCTTTTGCTCTTCCTTCCACCCACTAGAATGTAATTCCATCACATGAGGGTCCTATCCTCTTTCTTACTGTATCCCCAGAACATATGGGCACACAGTAAATACTTTAGTAAATAAATGAAAGAATGGGGCTTCCCTGGTGGTGCAGTGGTTGAGAGTCCGCCTGCCGATGCAGGGGACGCGGGTTCGTGCCCCGGTCCGGGAAGATCCCACATGCCGCGGAGCGGCTGGGCCCGTGAGCCATGGCCGCTGAGCCTGCGCGTCCGGAGCCTGTGCTCCGCAACGGGAGAGGCCGCAACAGTGAGAGGCCCGCGTACCGCAAAAATAAATAAATAAATAAATAAATGAAAGAATGAATGAATATTTCACTATATCCTAAGCACCCCAAAGGCAAGGATCATTTGCCATTGTATTATTACAACTAACGGGCAATGTGTAAATGTTGAATAAAAGAAGGGATAATTGAATAGGAAGCATAAATAATATAAAAATAGTATTTGTTGAATAAAGGAATGACTCAATGAATGGATTCAGGAATAAAAGAAAACTGAGATTTGAGGCAAGTGATCTAATTTGGAATACTTTTTGGTTTTATTGAAACATAAATGTATATCACTGAGAAGCACTGGTCCTTTTCTAGTTCACTTTTGATAGAACTGTAGTTCCTCTGGGGATTCCCATCTCATTCTATAAATGAATCTCTTTTATACCTTTTTAAATTCATCTAAAGACCTGTAAACCATCCACTCAAAGCACATTCCGTTATCCCAATTACTGTCATCATTAAACACTTTTGTGATTCACAGTGTGCTAAGTACTCTATATGTTTCTGTCCTTAAGGGTTTTCATCAAAATTGGACTGAACAAACCACTTCACATAATGAGTGGCATTTTGTCAAAGGTGTAGACAAAAAAAAGTTCATTTACTGGTTAAAAGATATAGCGATCCTAGGAATGCAGTTACACCTTGCTATTTTTTATGGCCCACAAGAATTGGAGAGCGCCCAGAATGAGGGTGTGGAGCTTTGTGGATCCTCTGCTTGGCATTTATGTCTGTGCCAGCTGTGCTAAAGGTTGTTCTTTTAAGCACACACCACTACCAAATCCCAGCCAGGATGTCAGGTAATTCTACCCCAAGGACAAACTTTTTAAAATAGCACGTCAACCCCTGTTCCTTGCCTCAATTAGACTGCTCCTACCTTTCATTTTCAGGGCATATATTACCTGATTTCCATGTCACTCACAAGAACCGGTTGGATGAGATGAGCAGCAACATAAGATGTGACTCTGACGCTGGTAACCTCTGCTCTGTTGGGGTGACTGTTTTCACAGTTAAATGATACGAGTGCCTTGAGTTTCCTGCAAATGAGTTTTCTGCAAATGAGTTGCTCTTCAGAGCACAATGTGAACAGAATCCTTTCTCAAAGATCCTTTGCACCTTTTCGGAAAGGAGAGGAGACAGGGCCTCATGTTCCCTTGAATCATTTATTCCAGAGCCAGTTCTAAAAAGTTTCACTATGTGGGGAAGCCAGGAGAGGGTACTTTGAAAAGAAAAAGAAAACCATCTTCCCCTGCCCTCCCCCAGGAGCACAATTCACTTGTGACATTTTGCTAGACTTAAAAAGCCCTAAGAGTTTTCTTCCTTAACAGAGTTACATTCCTAGCACTTCAAGGATTCCTGGGAGGTCACTTGTCACTCTCAGAAGCGAGCAAGTGGTGAAAATACTATCTGTGTTCCCAGAGTACCTCTATGGCATTAGGAAAGAGCTTTGCACTGGACTCACCCCCAGCACCTAAAAAAAGAAAAAAAAAAAGGCATGAATTCCCTAATGAGATTTTCTGCCACACTGGTACACAGATCTTGTCTGATTTCTTTCTGCTAACCTATTCAAAATGAGAATTAATTAGTTTCTCATCCTTGGTACTATTGACATTTGGGGCCAGATAATTCTTTATTGTAGGGGGCTGTCCTACACATTGAAGGGGGTTTGGCAGCATCCCTGACTTGTACCTACTAGATGCCAATAGAACACCTCACCCCCTAGTTGGGACAACCAAAAATGTTTCCAGAGTCTCCAGATATTGCCAAATGCCCCTGGGGGTGGGGGGCAGGCAAAATCACCCCCAATTTAGAACCACTGGATTATACTGATGCCTTGCAAGTGAACAAATATTTGGGGAGCACTTGTTAAGTCTGAGGCTCTGGGCTAAGGATAAAAAACGTTGGTGCCTTCATGGCAGTCACAGTATTGACACAGAGGGTTAAAATTAAGTAAATTTAGAGAGAAAATAAACACCACTGGTTGAAATAAAGGAGTGTGAGGAGGAGAAAGAGGACCCATTGGGGTGGGAGAACACTCAGGGCACCTCACAGAGGGTGACATTTGTGAGAGGCCTACATGGACAGAGGTCTGAGGAGGGGGTATAACCAATCCAAGTGAAAGAAATGGAAACTCAGCGAATGCAGAATGATTGGAGAACAACAAGTAGTCTAGTGCAGCTCAACCTTAGGGTTTGAATGAGGAATAATGAGAAATGGAGCTAGGAAAATAGTTTAGGAACTATTTAGCCATAAAAAGGAATGAAGTGCTGATACATGCCTCAACATAGAGGAACCTTGAAAACATTATACTTTTTTATTTTTAGTATTTATTTACTTATTTATTTGGCTGCGTCGGGTCTTAGTTGTGGCACACAGGATCTTTTAGTTGCAGCATGTGAACTCTTAGTTGTGGCATGCAGGATCTAGACCACACATTGTATGATGCTATTTATATGAAATGTCCAGAATAGGCAAACCCATAGAGACAGAAAGCAGATTAATAATTGCCAGAGGCTGGGAGGAGGGAGAATGGGAAATGATTGCTAATGGGTTTGGGGTTCCTCTTTGGGGTAATGAAAATGTTCTGGAATTAGTAGTAACGGTTGCATAATCTTATATATATACTAAAAAACAATGAACTGTACACTTTAAAAGAGTGAATGTTATGATATGTGAATACCTCAATTAAAAAAAATAGGACCTACTGCAGAGGGCCTTATACGTTAAGCTGAAGGTACTTAATGCTGGAGACACCAAGGAGTCACCAAATGCTTTTAATATGCTAGTAATAATAATAAAATAATAAATAATATTACAATAAAATAATAAAACAAGAATAGTAATGAAAGTGAGAGCAATAGATACCATGGATTGAGCAATTCCTATGTGCCTTACCTGCATGGTCTGCACTGACCACCTATTTACACATGAAAACACCCAACAGTCCCGTCTGCATTTCACACAGGACTTATTTTGTTTATTGTTTGTTTCCTTCCTGACTAAAATGTACGTTCCATAGGAGCAGGGGATTTTGTGTATTTTATTCACTACTTTATCTCAAGGGTCCAGAACACTGACTAGCATACAATAGGTACTGAATAAATACGTAAGAAGTGAATGTTGTTGATTAAGAGAACCTTAGAGGTCACGTAGAACAAGCAACTTGTTTTACAGCTGAGGAAAGGGGGGCAAATAACATGTTCCTCCCATAGGAATTTAATGGGTGGAGCTGGGCCAACTGGAGAGGTATCCAGGAGACTCTTGGTGCCTGCCCTGCAAAGCCCCTTTGAAGGCACTAGCCACAAGCTGTTCTCTCCATTGAACTTACCTTTCTTTGCATTGTGTGTGATGGTCATGTTTCTCCCACCTAATATCCATTCCCCCCATTCTCTGAAAATAGTATTTTGATTCCTTGGAGGAATAATCCATGTTGGTTCATGTGGTTTGTGTGGAAATAGATGGCAGAGAGACACATGACCCAGGTCTGACCAATCAGTGCACTGCATTCTCTTGGTCATGATTGGTCCAGTAGGAGGGCACATGACTCAAGCTAGGTAAGTGAAACTCCATTATGGGATTTTGCTGAAAGCATTAAGGAGAAATTCTCACAGGGTTTCTAAGCTGGTAGAGTGAAAGCTTGGAGCTGCTGATGGCCATTTTTGCCACTGCTTGGGAAGAGCTAGCCTGAGAATGAAGGGAATTCAGAGAGAAGCAGAGTCTAGAGATGGTAGGAAACAGGCTTCGTGATAACGATTAAACCCCTGAATCCAGCTTTGCCTGAAGAAAGATCAATCCTTCTACTCATATTAATTCCCTGATTTGCTTAAGCCACTTTGAGTTTGGCTTGCAAGGAAGTGAAT